GTGTTGGTACCACTGTGTTTCTCTGGAGACCCCAAGGGATCCAATGCTATCAACTTCATTCAGACAATTGGCTCACTCATTTCCATATGTAAGACTGAGCTCCCATCACCTGCTTCCTTCCTTACTCCCCATGCTTTCCACATGGTTGAGTCTACTATTGCTGGAAGATACCGTCTCAGCTTCTAATCTGCCATCATCACCACCGCTTTCCTGTCTTCTGCTAGATGAAGGTCTCTGCTTATACTGATTCGACCGGGTTCACCTGGACAATCTAGAATATTCTCCATCTTAACAGTCCATCACCATAGCTGCACCTGCAAAGTCCCTCTTGTAAGGTAACATATTCACAAGTGCCAGGGGCTGAGTGTGGACAGCTCAGGGGGATGGGGAGCAATCTAGTTCCCACATCTCCATTTCCTTGGCATGTACTCTTTTTATAGTCACAAAGCAAGTTCAGTTGGGTTCTTCCAATCTTAATAATTTTATCTCAACTGAAATTTCTCCATCTCACTTCTAGTTCTGTTGGGGATTATTTAAAAAACTGTGGATTTTTATTTGCAAGCTTTTATTGAACTTAGTTTTCTTTCCAAGATTTGCATTTGGCTTCTCCTCTTGGCTATTTCCAACCTGGGACCACTTTATCTGAGTCTCCAACATGTCCGATTTGCTTATAGCCCAGGGTGCCGCCTCATCCTACCTAGTGCTGCTGCCATGTGTCCGGGAAGCAGCTGTGGTATCTGCCTCTGTGCTATCTCCTTTGTGGGCAGAAGCATTCATGCTTTCTAAGTGAGAGGCAGAGATTGCCAAAACTTAATGGTATGCTGTAGCTCCTATGTGGGCAGTGAGTGTCTGGGAGAGAGACACAGGGCCTGCCAAAACATACTGTCTGCTTTATCTCCTGTGTGTGTGAGAGAGAAAGATCATAGGAAGGTCTGCCTAAACATACTGTCTGCTGTATCTATATGTGTGTGTATGTGTCAACAGGAAGGTCTGCCAAGACACAGTTTGTAGTATTGACAATCTGGAATTCTAGGGCTTATCTTTTTCCAGTGTGCTGCCTCTTCCTACTGCTTCCTATTTTCATGTTCATAGTCCCAGCTTTTTTTTTTTTTTTTTGGGGGGGGGGGGGGTCCAGTCGTGGGCCTGAACTCTGGGCCTGGGCGCTGTCCCTCAGCTCTTCAGCTCAAGGCTAGTATTCTACCACTTGAACCACAGCGCCACTTCCGGCTTTTTTTTTCTTTTTGCTTATGTGGTGCTGAGGAATCAAACCCAGGGCCTCAGGCATGCAAGGCAAGCGCTCTACCACTGAGCCGCCTTCCCAGCCCCAGTTCCCAGCATTTGGCACATAATTTTTGTGTATGTGTGCTGGTCTTAGGGCTTGAACTTGGGGTTTGGGAGCTGTCTTGAGCTCTTTTGTTCAAGGCAAGTGATCTGCCTTGAACTACAGTTCAATTTTCGACTTTTTGGTGGTTAATTGGAGATAAGAATCTCATGTGCTTTCCTACCTGGGCTGGCTTCCAACCACAATCCTTGTATCTCAGCCTCCTGAGTAGCTAGGATTATAGGCAGGAGCCACTGGTGCCCAGCTAGATAATTTTTGAATAGCTGATTGTTGAATGAATATGCTAAGTTTTACAAATCCACTGAACACTGTAAAATGAACAGAGAAATATTTTAAATGGAAAATATGTTCATTGTTCCAATGTCATTTAAAAGCTGGTACTGCATATGAATAGTTTGCTATCATGACCCAAGAAAATAAGAAAATCCTGACCTTTTTTATATGTGAAGACTTGTACAAGTGTGAATAGTAAAATGCCATGATCTATATTCTGTAGCCTTTGAAAAAGATGGTGGAGAGGATCCGCAAGTTCCAGATTCTTAATGATGAGATTATCACCATCCTGGACAAATACTTGAAGTCGGGGGATGGTGAGAGCACTCCAGTAGAGCACGTGCGCTGCTTCCAGCCGCCCATCCATCAGTCTCTGGCCAGCAGCTGAGGACACAGACGGGACCAAGCCCCACAGCATTTAGTGATTCTGATGGCATGTTTATCTTTCCATAAACCATTGGGTGGAAATTTTTAGGGACTATTTTTCAGTATCTCTGTACCTGTTCAAGGAGGTGCTTTTTGACCTAAAAGCTTTTATAAAATTGACTTATTTTTCTAGACTATAATTGTATATGCTTTTGGTAATTAGGAAGTCTGAAAACACTGGCTGCTGATCAATGCCATCATGTTCTTATAAAATTAATTTTTCCTATTTTCTAAGCAGCTAGCCATGTCATATATGCTGCTGAGTTCATTCACCCCTTAAGAAACTTAATACCAACTAATTGTATTAACTTAATACCAACTAATTGTATTAAACTCCTGTATCAATTACTGTTAAACTACTTAGTTTTTGTTTAGATTATTCGATGGTCTTTCGGTCTTTTTTCTAAGTCACTGTCCTTGTCCCTCTTTTGTGTCAGTGTTTCAAAACATCCCAATGAACTTATTTCCCCTGCTTTCACTAAACTCGGTTGTAAAAAAATGTTCATTTGTAAGGTATGACATTGATTAGAGAAATAAAACTAATGAAACCTCTCTGTGCTCATTCATTCACCACAACCTGTCCTGATAGGCCTGAGCAGTGGGTGGTATCTTTTCCATCCAGGCTTACAGACCAAGTTCAGGTCAAAATCTTGACATCTTTAAAATATGACTACTACTGGCAGGTATGTTTAACTACTACTACTGGCACTTACGTTTAACTTTATACTTAGCTTTCAACAGGGATGAAAGGAAAGCCAGGCCAATCAGACACACAGCTGTTGACCGCTCTGTTCTGGACATGGAGGCACATTAAGTACCTCTACACCATGGCCTCTGTGACCTAGAGGCCAGTATGGGAAAATATTAGTCTGGATAAGGGGGTGCTGCACAATAGGACTAAGGAAAACTTGGGTGCTACTTCTAATACCCTCAGATTTCCTTCCCGGCTGCTGGGTTGCTCAGTAAGTTGTCTTCTGTGGCTCGAGTTAGTTCATAAGCTCTGTCAGAAGACACGTACCAGATTTTTATTTTTTGGTGGTAATAACTCAGGGCCTTTGCGCTGTCCTTCAGCTTTAGGTTTTGTGCTAAAGTGAGCCACAGCCTCACTTTTTTTTTTTTTTTTAAGTGACTAACTGGAGAATGAAGGAAATGGTGAACCTTTGTCCAAGGGAAGGATTCTGCTTTTGTGTGTCTGTGATGGTAGTAGGGCTTGAACTCGGGACAGCAGCGCCCTAAGCTTTCTTGCTCAAGGATTTACCACTTGAGCCACTCCATCTCCATTTCTAGCTTTTTGCTGGAAGAGTCTCACATACTTTGAATTGAGATCCTCAGATCTCAGCCTTGTGAGTAGCTAAAATTACCAGCACCTGGTTAAGATACTAGGTTTTTTTTTTTTTTTTGGTTTTTTTTTTAATCTACTACTAAGACATGAAAAATAGATTAAAAATGGTTAAGAATGGAAAGCTTGGTGTGTGGCACACACCTGTGTTCACAGCTACATGAGAAGCTAATAGAAGCTTGTACAAGGCCAACCTAGGCAACATATAATGAGCCCACATCTCAAAAATGTAAAATCCACGATGGAGAATACCAAAGTCCCTTCAAGCATGGTAGAGAAGTACAAGAACTATTCTGTTGTACAATTATTGTTACATGATCTTTGTAACAAGTATTTATGAAAACTTACCTCAAAATCTTGGGTTCGGTGCTCAATTCTCCTACAGATTTGAGAGTGGTATTTGTGTCCACTCTATGAAGGATAGAATAAAAAAGTTACTATTTTTACAAGCTTCCTAAGACTTAATGATAGGCCAATTAAAGTATATACATTATTTCAAGTGCTACAAAATGTTAATATCAATCTATGCATTCTCAATGAAGATATTCAGGTGAGAATTCCATTTTTACAAGCAAGACAAGACATATAGTACGACAGATATACAATGTATCTATGGAAATGTAAAGACACACCCATGGTATTAAAAGTTGCATGGGGGAATGTGGGGGAGCTTAGTGGTAGAGGACGGACCTTGCATACCTGAGACCGTTTTATCCTCAATATAGTGGGGGGAAATAGAGCAGGTAGCGGCTTTAAAAAGATGTAATAGATTCTTGGAGTACCACCAGAAACCAAAGCTGTAGAAAAGGGATTTGTTTCATTTATAGAAGTTGGTCTGCCCCAATGGAGGCTCCTGGAGAGCTGTATGGGGTATGAGCACTGCTGCCACAGGAGACTGGGCAGGTTCAGTCCTGATAGGCCACCATGCAGCCTTAGACATGACAGGTCTGAGCTTCTGATCTAGAAGGGTGATGGTGACTGGAAGATATATTGCCAATACTTTTTATAATAACCAACTATTAACTAAGTGGATGTGAAACAGCTTATTATGCTGTTTATTGTCCTGTCTTTATGCGTATGGATTTGAAATTTTCCACAAATTTTTCATAAACATTTCCTAAAGGACAAAAACATAACAGTAAAAAAAAAAATACACCTCAAATATTTGGTACAAAGATAACATATCATCAACACTGAAGTCTGTTCTAAGTACCCGGACTTCCTTTCATTGTCTTTTTATGAGCTAACTTAAGTACACTCGTCTTCTGATTTCATTTCCCAGTGTTATTAAAAGGTCTGCAATATAATATTACCTCATTATGAAAGTACAAAAGTTGATGTAAAATGGTAATTCCAGGCATCGACCAACGAATAAAGGCTGCAGTGGGACTCGGCCCTGAACATGGAGGGCATACTTAATGAACAAGGGGAGATCTTCCTGAAGAAGCCCATCAGATGCAACACACAGGAAACCAGACATTGCTGGCACACCACAAATTTGACCTTGATTGGGATCCTATCCCTTTGCTAACAAGTTTTCTTCAATGGTAAAGTGAAGATTCTCTTGGCCTTATATTTCAAAATTAAAGTAATTCACCAAACAGGAGTCAATCTGATAGGTAAGGTAAACCAGAGGATAATGTATTGGGATAATTTTGTTCTTTCGCACAATCAAAAAGTCATGTATGGTCAGGGACTGATAGGCTGGGATGACAAATACACATTTCAGACTTTCATCACCAATGAAAAAATAAAGCATTTTTATAGACTTAAAACTGTATTAGTGCATTTAGATTTTGGAGAAAGAATCAAAATGTAAAATACCTCTACAATAATACAACATTAATAGAAATCAGCCATGAACTGGGGTCATCTTAAGTGACCTCATTTAAACTACCATTTTTAAATATAAGAAAAGTAATTTCTTGGTCCAAATTAATGAAACTTTTAAAAAGATTGTCTTTAGAGAAGCACTGAAGACAATGCTTTTTCAGACACATTCTGATACTCAAAATCACTTTATAACAGAATTCTAGATTAACCTTTTAATCGTATCTTTCTTAAAAAGCTGATAGATTTCCATTTCTCCGGGAGATATTTTCAGCTGTGTGTTCAACTCCACAGGGTAAGCTTTCTTCATTATTATTAAGAACTTCATACATACTAGAGAGATTGCCATTCACTGCTTTTTCATCTTTTCGAAAAGACACAGGCAGACTTGCAAGACTAAAGCTGACGTCCTTAAAGGCATGCAACAAGAATATCCCCACAATGATAGTGAGGAAGCCACTCAAAGTCCCAATGATATCATCAACAGGCATGTGTTGCCACTCTTTAAAAAGAATAGCTGAACAAGTTAAAACTGAAGTTGTAAAGAATACATAATAGATGGGAGTCACGATAGACGTGTTGAATATGTCCAGAGCTCGGTTTAAATAATTAATCTGTGTGCTCACACAGACCACAAGGCTCAGCAGCAGGATCCAGGCCAGGGGATGCCGCAACACTGGCTTCGAAGCTAACAGCTCTTTGATAGCGATGCCCAGGCCCTTCACACAGGAGACAGAAAATGCTCCAATCACAGAGCAGATTGTGATGTACACGAGGATGTTTGTTTGTCCATGGCGAGGTCCCACCACAAAGATTAGTATCAAGGACACAATGACCACAAGAGTTGCAAAGACCACAAAACCTAGAAAGGGCAAAGAAAAGATGTAGTTAATCAAATGTTCTGAAACAGAAGATAACTGAAAACAAATTTGGTAGGAAAGAAAAAAAAGGTATGGTCTGTCAGTTGTGGGGCTTGAACTCAGGACCTGGATGCTGTTCCGGAGCTCTTTTGCTCAAGATGAGTGCTCTACCACTTTGAGCTACAGCGCCACTTCTGGTTTTCTAGTGGTTAACTGCAGATGAGTCTCATGAGGACTTTTCAGCCCAAACTGGCTTCAAACCATGATTCTCAGATCTGAGCCTCCTGAGTACCGAGGATTACAGGCGGGAGCCACTAGCACTCAGCTAACCGTTGGTATTTTTTAAGTAGCTTCATCTGCCTACCTAAATGTGCCTACCTGGAAGGAAAGGGGACAGGCAATCAGAACAGGTTCTGAGCTGGCTGAAGAGAAATCACAATGTGTTTTAAGTCTTGAATGCTGGAGTTTTAGATGATTGGAGAACTGAAGCCAACTTAATAGCCAACGTGCATCACGTAGGCATGCGCTCTTCTCAGCATTTGTAATCAACTGCCCACAGCACATATAAACACTTGTATTTTAAGATGAGAAAAATCTGTCCCTTCCTCAAACTTCACTATAAAGAAGCAAATATAGAGAAACAAGAAAGGAGATGATAGCAAAATATTTTGTAGGAGGGCAATGTTTCTGATGCCTGTCAGAAAGCAGACGCTAACTCATAAATGATATACAAGATCCAAGAAAGCTGACCCTTGTATCAGCAGCAATCAAATTCAACAGCATGGAATATTTTTACTGATAAAATGCTATGAAGCAGGGAAGAAACAAAACTGAACACAGAGCCTGGATACAAGTCCATTCAAGATGCAAGGAGATCCCTGACCCTTTCCCAATTGTGCAGATATGGGCCACTTTCCCTCCTGAGACAGTGCTGTCTATAAGCAGACTGAGGACCAGGTGCTCATGTAAGTATTACACTAAAATAAGGGCCAGCAAGCTCAACGAGAGAAATATGAGAAATGTCTAACTAAAAGAAAACATGGAGTTGAGGATTTAGCTCAGTGGAAGAGCACTTGCCTGGCAAGTGCAAGGCCCTGAGTTCGTTCCTCAGCTCTGGAAAATAAAAAGTAAAAGGACAGGAAACCTGACCTGAGTGTTAAGGGGGCACTGTTTGGTATGGAAGCCAACAGGAAAAGGTGAAAGGAGACAGTGGTGGGTAGGTAGATAATATAATCAGAGAGGAAGAAGGAAGAAAGGCTAATAGTAAGCTCAGTTTGATTAAAGTACACAATATGAATGTACATTATACATTTGTACTGAAATACAATGAAACCCCACTGTACAATCAGTGTTCTAATAAAAACTATGAGGCGCAACAGAGCAAGGTGTGTTTGTGCAGATGTTTAAGTCCCTCCTCCCCACTTCAGTCACAGGATTTCTGTGCTCCTGTAAGAAAGTAGAAGATTTTTGCTGGAAATCTGACCACCCTGATTGTGCCAGTCCTAGGGTTTGAACTCAGGTCCTAGGTTGTATCCCTGAGCTACTGCTCAAGGCTAGCACTCTACCACTTGAGCCACACCTCCCCAACTCCAGCCTTTTTCTGGTTAACTGGAGCTAAGAGTCTCATGGACTTTCTGGTATGGGCTAGGTTCTGACTTGAGATCTCAGCCTCCTGAGTAGATAGGATTATAGGTACAAGCCACCAGTGCCTGGCTACCTAGACTTTTTAAAAATCAGAAAGTCAAAGAACATCTAGAAAAGCCCAAACAGAAAGAAAAAGAGCCTGAACTCCCTCTAGTAAACAGAGGAAAAGTTCAAAATGTATCAACTACCATCCTCAAAAAAACAAAACACAAAAAGCTACCATTAACAGCCTGAGAAAATAAATACCAGGCTAACCACGAACCCTAAAACAACTTTAAAGAATATATAAATTATAAAAACAAAACAGAAAACTCCCATAACAAACTAATATTAAACCTTTATTTAAGGGCAGTAAAGAACAATCAAAGCATCCAACTCTTAAGGGGGCCAAAATTTGAAGAAAAGAGAGTAACAGCTCAACACTCATCTCAGGACAAAAAACTGCCCCTGCAACAGAAGGCACGGGCATAAAGACTAATGGACATTTCAATGGACTAGGTGGGGTGGCTCAGCAGGTGAGCCTTAGTAGACCAAGATCCCCAAAAGAAAACTAGAGTAGTGACTCCAAATCTCTCCTTACAGCATTTGTGAACACAGAAGCTGCAGAGGGAAGATCACAGGTGGCCATAGGGCTGAGCAGATTTCAGCATCTTCTAATACGGAGCAGATGTGAGCTCACAGATCCCAAGTGAGAGGCCCAAGTTGATACTGAAAGTTATCAGCTGAGAGCCAGAGGCAATGAACAGGAATAAAGGTAAACTGGAACCAAACCAGATCCAAAGAAGCTTAACGTTGTCAAGGGGAAGGTGACCTGCTGGTCTCTTATGTGCCTGTCAGAAGAAATTTCAGTTCTCTCTGAAGAAAAAAACCACTCAGGGTTAGGCAAGGATTACAGTTCAAAGCCAACCTGGGCAAAAAGTTAGCAAGACTCTAATGGAAAAATAATTAAAGTGAAAATGGTTGAAGGTATGACTCAAGGGGTAGAATACCTGCAATACTTGCAAATATGGAGCTCTTAGTTTAAACACCAGTACTATGAAAAAAAACAAAATACCACTTAGAATCAGTATCTTATGTTTTCATTCCATCAAAACTGCCAAATGACAAAGTTTAAATGCCTAAAAAACAAAATTAAAAAACAATGGATCATGGAAACAGGCCTACAAAGAATCTTGATACTGTAAGAGGTGGTTGACCACACCTATAATCTCAGCTACTCAAGAGGCAGAGATCTTTCAAGTCCAGCCTTAACAAAAACACAGCCAAGACCCTCTTCTAAACCAACATGCTAAGCGTGGTGGTATGTGCCTAGAAGGCCTTTTATATAAAAGGATGGGTAGAAGGATCACAGTATGAGGCTAACCCCATGCAAAAACACAAGGCCCTATCCAAAAAACAACATCTGCTTATAAACGGTCTGAGGCTGTGGCTCAAGTGGTGGAACACTTTGCCTAGCAAACACTAGGCCAGGAGTTGAAGCACCAGTACCATTAAAAATAATAATAAAGACTTTAACTAAGAATCTGCTGTGTGCCAGTGGCTCACATCTGTAATCCCCTAGCTACTCATGAGGCTGAGATCTAAGGATCACAGTTCAAAGCCAGCCAGGGCAGAAAGTCTGTGAGACTCCAAACTAATCACCAAAAAACCAGAACAGGAAGTATGACTCAAGTGGTAGAGTGCTAGCCATGAACTAAAAAACTGAGGTCTAGCGTTCAAGTCTCAACATTGGGGGGAAAAAAAAAGCAAGCAAAGACTACTATTTTTCATAAGCTATGTAGGAAACTTGGGTCTCTTTATGTGTACATATACAACAAATGAAGCTTTTCTTTCTTCTTACCAGGATCGCCCAACTTATGTGACATTTCATTCAAGGTCTCAATCTCTTCTTCTTTTGGAGCATGGATGACCATTACTGTAGATCCCAAAATGCTTAGCAAACACCCAATTTTCCCATGAAGATTAAGTCTTTCATTTAGAAAATATGAAGAAAGAATGGCACTAAAATGAGAAGGGAGAAAAGGGTTGAGAATTTAAAAATAATCAGCTACTGCTTTCATTTTGTTTTTTTTACTGTTCTCATTTTAAAAAGTAACAAACTCACAACTTATATTACCGAACTCACTAAAACACTGAGCTCTTGAAGATTCTGGCTTTCAGCCAAAGAAAATATACGCTGACTCATAAAACTATATGTAACAAGGACTCAGAGACTGGTTCTGCTCAACTCCTCGCTTGCGCTGGCACGCGTCGGCTCCACCGCCATTCTGCACCTGTCCTCTTTGCTCCGACCCCTCTATCCTGTAGTCGCCTAAGAGTTCAGGAGCAATTCTCAAAACGACCTCCAAAGCAACAAGAAATCTGTGAGAAATTTACAAAGTAAAAATCTAGTTTGTGCAACTCAGGTCCTCATTAAAACATCTATATCCAAAGCAGGGTCTCAAATTTGCTCAATCTTATTCCTAGTGGTGGTACATTCTATTTATAGGGACATTCAAGTGTACATAATCTGCTCATAATTATTTTATGTTATTTACAGAGGTAAGAATGAAGGGCAATGGGACATTTAATTATTAATTTGTCTATTTTACACAGTTTCTTGTGGGTGAGAATAAAAATATCTAACTATAATCAACAATCGGAATAGTAATCAAAATCCAAACTTCAATGGTTAGCCTAACCTTAGGTCAGTCTTCAGAGGCACATAAGCTCCTATCAGTCAACAACTTTCTGTAGCAGGTATAGAAATCTATTTATCACCAACCATGAGCTATCAAAGTCCAAATGCACTGCATGATAAATGTTGGACAAGGACAACTTTTGAGTTTTCCAAACTTGAATCACTAATGCTGGCTCTGAATACAGGTCAAAGTATAAACTCCTTTTGCCCATTCATCAGTAGCTTTCCCTATACACAGAGGCTGACTTTGAAAAAACAAACTACTACATAGTATTAAAAACAAAAGTCCTCAAGGGTGCTCAAATATACACTAAAGAAAAGTGACTAGCATTATTTCACTTACTAAAATACTACTTACAGAAGAAGCCACATTCTTACCTTACAAGGACGCTGAGAGCTCCTAGCGGAGTCACTAGTGTGGCTGGTGCAAATGCATATGCAGCGAAGTTGGCCACCTCACCTGCTCCCACTTAAGAGATGGACAACAAAAACACTTTCAGATTAAAATGTACATGCAATGGCTTACATATTATTTCAACCATATTCTTTCCTATAGTTCTAAGAGTTATGGTTTTGAAATTACCAACATTCAGAATCCAAGTCATCTGGAAACAACACATATCTTTAACTTAATTGCAAAGCTCTAGTTTTATGTTTACATTAAAAAAAAAGATTTAAGTTGGTATTTATTTTTAAGGACAACAAACACAAATCAACTAAGAGAAGCCAACACTAACACAAAGGCACTTTTCTCTAGTGTTTTTCAAATGGCTGCTCCTTTTTAAAGTCCAACTTATACAATATGCCAGATTCTAGGAACAGAAAATACAGGAAGGACAAAAACAGTGACAATACTCTCATGCAACTACATTTCAGTGAGGGCAAACACAAGAAAGCACATGGTCCCATTGTCAACAAAAGGAAAACAAAATGCTAGCGAGGAAGGGACTACATCCAATACTGAGAAGGATCTCTGGGATTAGGAAACCTGGACAGTCTGAAATGAAGTGTGGGAGTTATACAATGCACCTGTACAGGAGTAAAATATTACAAGCTATGGAAACAGCAATACTAAGACCCTGGGTGCAAATATTTGGCAATGTCTAAACACCAAAGGTAGCAGAGTGGTTCCATTAGGCCCAGCAAAGAGAGATGGCCAGGGAAAACAGAGGCAGACAAGGCCATAGCACACAGGACCTTCCTGAGTCCTGCTGGAGATCTCAGCTGTTACAAAAGCCTCACTAAAGCAAAAAGGGCTGGAAGCATGGTTCAAGTGGTAAGAGTATTAGACAAACACAAGGCCACAAGATTAAATCCCAGCAGCACCCTCCTTCCCCAAAATAAAATCCTTAGATCACATCACTCTTTTGTAAGGTCTCCAATGACTTCCTAGCTAACATAAAAATCCAAGTCTTTTATGTGACCTACAAAGCCCCCCCACACCCCTCTCCCCTCCCACCCAATCCATTCCCACACATCCCTTTTAACTTACTTATCTTGCTCACTGTTTGTCACCTAGAATGTAAGCTTCATATGGCAGGGATTTTGAGGGGAGGATTTTTTAAATGTGGTTTTAAATATTTTTATTATCTTTAACTGTACAAAAGAGTTGCTTTTATGTCTCTAATCTATCTTCAGCGCCCAAAACACTACCTGACAATAAACAGCTGTTAATTAGTAACATTTCAGGGTTCTAAGGACAAATTTTTCCACATAACCTTTTTTGTTGGCAATTTAGGAGGTTGAACTTAGGAACTGCTTATCAGGTAACTCTACCACTTGAACCACACCTTCAGCCCCTTTTTATGTTATTTTCAAGGTAAATTTTTGCCTAGTATGCCCTCCTATTTCCTCCATATTACTGGGGTTGACACACACATGCTACTGCATCCAGCCACTGTACTACCCTCACATTGGCGGTAACAGACATGCCATGGTTCCCAGGCACTGGTTGAAATGGTGTCTTCGGTATTTTCTTTTTGCCCTGTCTGGCTTCAATGAGGAACTCCAGATCTCCAATGCCTAGGTAACTAGGATTACAGGTTTTAGACACCATGCCTGGCTTTCACATACCTTTATAAAGGTAGTTATCAAAACAAGCATGGCCATCTAATCAATCAAACAAATACCTTCCTTTCAATTTGGAATGAGAACTAATAGAGGAAGTATTGAAAAATAAAGAAAAAACAACAGTCTTGTCAAGCTACTAAAAACTGCTGACATAGTTTTATAGGTAAATATTTACTTATTAAAGATTGAAGTTTTAAAATTTACTAGTATTATAAAGCTGTAATGGCATATGCAAATATTTACACATACAGCTATAACATTTTCTTGAAATATTCTCTATACGTACTTGACAGTAGTCCAGCCCACCATAACCACTCTTTAAGATATGCATGTCCACCTTGACCTGTGAATAAAGAAATATTTCACTTCTTTGGAAAATTATCAGTCTTCTTTTTAAGTTATGAGAAATATTACAGATTTTTTTCAATGTCTCATCTGTTGCTTGTAAATACTTTAAAGGTTTTTGCATGATTATATAAAAGGGATTTCTTAGATAACGTTTTTATGATTACCTTAGAAAAGTGAGAATCACAATAATCTTAAAAAATGTTTTGGAAGGGCTGGGAAGGTGGCTCAGTGGTAGAGTGCTTGCCTTGCATACATGAGGCCCTGGGTTCGATTCCTCAGCACCACATAAGCAGAAAAAGCTGGAAGTGGCGCTGTGGCTCAAGTGGTAGAGCACTAGGAGCTGAAGAGCTGAGGGACAGCGCCCAGGCCCAGAGGTCAGGCCCCACGACTGACAAAAAAAAGATGTTTTGGTTTGTACCATATTCTTGGATGAAAGAACTAAATCCTTATGTTTAACTCATCCTCTATTTTGTTCTATGAATTCAGCTTTGATAAAGAAAATAAGCCAGTAACTTCAAATAAATTACTCTGCAAAGGGATACGTTATTTATGCGTGTGCAGCCCCACTTAGGAGACGATGGTCCTAAAAACAAATAAGAATTACTTTTACACTAGGGCTGCCACAAATCCTGCTTTCTCCTTGGCTTTCCTCTTAACCAAACTACAGCAAGAAGCAATCTGAATTGAAGTCACTGTCTTGAGAGCCAAGATGAATGAGTCCTTCACAAGCACCTCCTCTGTGGATGAGACATACTGTAGTACCATGGATGAAGGACTGGGGGAAAAGAAGAGATGTTAAGATTTCCTCCTCTATCCACTAAACCCACTAAACTCTTATCCACTAAACACCAGACAAGAGTCCACTGTCTCACATTTTAACACTACTAAATTAGGAATAGCCGTAGAGCTGGCACCGGAAAGTGAGACAAAGTCCTAATTTTTACTGCTAAAACAGGTCTACTCATGAGGTCCAATCAGATCTAGAATGCAGAACCATAAAGATTACATTTGACCTGAGAACTGTTAAGGATGCCCCACATGGGGGCAGCGCAGCGTTTAGAACAATGAGTGGGTCTTGTGACGTGGCAGCAATTTCTGGGGTAGAAATTAGACTCAATGACAGCGTACTCTTCAAGCCAGAGAAGCTCTTTTACTCCTGTCAGATTGAGATCATAAAGGAAAATATCTTCAGTAAAATCCAGAAGTTCTACTGTCATGGACAAAATATCCCAGCCTTCAGTATGACTCTAATTCTGTTTATTGTCACTATTTTCTTCTCTGTAGATATACTAAAATTGAGTCTGGATGTTAATTTAGCATTTGTTCCCCAACTGTAGTTTAATAATAACCATAGGAAAGGACAATCGATTGATTTTGATAACTTTATTTTTCTTATTATAAAATTGATATTTGACCATCAATATCACTTAGAACTCTTGAACAGAAGGGTTCAAATACACTTAATGAGGAGCGAAGACATGTCCTTCTACAGTATGTAAGCACACAATGATGTCATTTCAAATCATATAGGGCAAAACCTACCTGCTCTCATGGAACCTTTTCTGGCAAGTCGCAAAAGGCCTTTCTTTTTCAAAATGAAACTTCCTCCAATGAAAATGCTGGAGGTCATAGCCAATCCCAGACCAATATAAAAGTCATATTTTCCACGACCCGGGCTCATTTCGTTTGTTACTTAAGAACTTCCTGTGAATCACATTGATCAGAGAATACAGAAACTGCTGGTACTAGAGGCAGGATGATGCAGTCTTCAAATCTAAACACAAAATACAATGGGATTTTCATTTAACAATGACATGACACAAATTCAAATTTTTACTTCACATTTCCTTTCTCATAAAGAATAGCTGGGCACTGGTGGCTCATACCTATAACCTTAGCTACTCAGGAGGTGTAGATCAGAAGGCACAAAAGTAGAGGTCCTCCTGGGCAAAAAGTATGAAAGACCCCTATCTTGACCAACAGCTGGGCATGACTGTACATGTCTAACATCCCAACCATGCAGAAGGCAAAGAGTAGAAGGCTCTGTTCTAGGCCAGCTTCTGGTATTTAAAAGTTCAAGAGCTCCTATCTATATAAACAGCTGAGCATAGTGGTACACCTGTCATCCCAAATACATAAGAAACATAAATAGGAGGCTGGCCTAAGCATAAGAGCAAGATTTTTCTTAAAAAGATAATTAAAGCAAAAGTAGCTAGGAACATGGGTCATCACCTGACTAACAAATGTGAGGCTCTGAGCTGAAACCCCAACACTGTCACAATTAAAACTAAGTAAGAATTTAAAATCATTAATGAAAACAATCATTTTGTGAGCAAAAGATGATGATTTTAGTAAATATGTCTGCTAGTATATGGGATATGGTACTGTTGAATCTACGTAAATAGGAGGACTGAGATAGGCTTAATCCAGAAAGCATAGGTTTACCACACTGTATACTTTTCCCCCAAACAGCCCAACTCATGAATTCTGTTGATAAATATGGAGTGCAGAGAATAGAAATCATACTAAGAAACCAGGGCTATGATTGCTTACACCTGTCAATCCAAACTTTTTAGCACACCTTGATATTTTTAGTCCTATAATTTAACTACCAAATCTTATAACTAACCTAAAGTTCAGTCAGGATCCTCATTATCTAGCCAGATTTTCCTTAGTTTAAGTTATAAGACTCTAGCCTTTAAACAACCCAATTCAACTTCCTGTCCTCACAATTACTACCAATCGATTTTTATCAGCTGATTAATTTTGGAGATAAGGTGTTGCTAGGGAGCCCGGGCTGGCTTTGAACTTAATAGTATTCTTACCTCAGCTTCCTAAGTGGTGGGATTACAAATATATAACACCAAGCTCAGCTCTGAAATTACTTTTTCTATTTCAACAGTATTTATTAGGTATATGTTGTTTGTGGCAAGTATTATACGGAGCATTTGAGACAAAACAAGAATATGCTTATTTTTGGTCAGCAAGGCAGGGATAAGAGTGCTTGCCTAACATGCAGAAAACCCTGAATTTGATCCCTAGCACCACACAACATATATACTAAAAGTAATGACTTTTAGTCTTCAGCAGGGAGACAGACAAAAAGACCAAAGAGAAGTACTAATAACATTCAGTAATAAATACAGCTTTATAACAATGAGTTACTATAACTCCAGAAAAAGCATAAGGTGTTAGGTGGGAGCCGGTAGGCTCATGCCTATAAATCTTAGCTACTTAGGAGGCTAAGATCTGAAGATCCCAGTTAGAAGCTAGCCTGGACATCAAAGTCTGTGAAATTCTTATCTCTAATAAACCACCAAAAAGCTGAAAGTGGAGGTGTGAATTAGTGATAGAGTGCTATCCTTGAGCAAAAAAACTCAGGGACAATGTCCAGGCCCTGAGTTCAAGCCCCAGGACTGGCATATGCATGCATGCATGCATACTCACACGCATACACACAACTAGGTTTGCTCAGGTCACTGGGAAACAACTTTAGCAAAGTGCCCGTTGTTAAGTATGGATCTATAGAAACCTCTCACACTTTTGCTCCCATGTGAGCAACACAGATTACAAAAGAAAGAAATGCGTAGAACAGAATTATTTTAGCTGATCTACAAAAAAGATCATTCCTATATGTCACCTAGATGGCTAACAAGGTTTCTAAAGTTAATGGGGTTGAGCATGTATCTCAGTGAACACTTGCCTAGCATGTATAAGATGGAGCAACAATCAAAAAATTAAATTAAAAAACCCACTCCGGACAGAGGCATGGCTCAAGTAGTACAGCACCTGTCTACGAAGTATGAAGCCCTACCAAAAAAATCCATATGGTATGTTTTAAAACAATAACTTGCATGTAGAAAACAGGAACCACAATGAAAAGCTGTGACTACATAGGATACATAGGGAACTTCTAATGTCTACAGTAAAGGTTTAAAACATATTCTTCCATGCTGAGGAGTAGTAGGGATATGAGGAAAGAACACAAGCAAGTGCCCCAAAGCAAGAATCTAGGACCACACCGCAACATGGGAAGAAGACAAGAAGCCTAGGTCAGAAATGGGCTGTGTTTTCCAAGAATCAGTTTAACATGCATGAGAAGCAGTCTTGAATCTTTCCAGAACTACTCTTTCTCTCAAGGGATTTGGTCAAGTGTCTCTAGTCCTACATGTGCAGCTCCTAAGGCAAGATGATGACATAAGGTGGGGAATTCAGAGACTCTGTCCTGCCTTTAGCTGGTATTTGACCGTGGATGAGTCACAACCACAACAGACACTATAAGAAAAGAAAAACAAAATAATCTAAAGTGCCAGCCTTTTTATGGGCCAAACACTGGTCATCTCAAGCCACAGCTGAACTTCAGCATGCCCTTCCTAACTGTATCAATTAATTGCAGATATGAAAACACATGCAGGCAGAGTGAGGACAATTAAAAAAAGAAAAAAGAAAAGAGAAAAGAAAGAAAAGGGCTAGGAAGTAGCTCAGTGGCAAACTGCCTAGCAAGTGCAATTTCCTGAGTTTGATCCCCAGTACCAAAAAAGACAAGACAAAAAATAAAAATTAAAAAATTAAAAAAATAGGTAACCAGGGCTGGGAAGGTGGCTTAGTGGTAGAGCGATTGCCTTGCATGCATGAGGCCCTGGGTTCGATTCCTCAGCACTACATAAGCAAAAAAAGAAAAAAGCCAGAAGTGGTGCTGTGGCTCAAGTGGTAGAATGCTAGCCTTGAGCTGAAGAGCTGAGGGACAGCACCCAGGCCCAGAGTTCAGGCCCCACGACCGGACCCAAAAAATATTAAAAAAAAAAAAAGGTAACCATAGCTATATATAATGAGAATTATAACTAAAAAAACAAGAAGTGTGCTTAAACTGCAACTGCCACATACCCTACATGATTAGATTACCTGTGTTTATGAGCCAGCTTTCCTCATAAAAGTGTAAGTTCCTAGACCCATCCTGCATATTACTCATCTTTTAAGCCTACACCTAGTTATCTGACAGTCTCAAAAGAAAATTCTTACTGGGCACTAGTGGCTCATGCCACTAGTAATCTTAGCTACTAAGGAGTCTGAGATTAGAAGACCAAGGTTCAAAGCCAGCCTGGGGAAGGAAAATCTGTGAGACCCTTATCTCCAAATAATCACCCCCAAACCCAGAAGTGGCATTGTGGCTCATGTGGCAGAGCACTAGCCTTGAGCAACAAGGAGCTCAGAGACAGTGCCCCAGTCCAGAGTCCAAGCATCAGGGCTGGCAAAAAAAAAAGTCTTAATAATTTGTTTTCTAACATAATTTGGATGATTGATAACTATCCCTGAAAAATAGTTGCCTATGCTTTAGTGTCCATTAATACACAGAAAACCACTTCATTATTTACATTAGCATCCTAAAATGTAGCCAGCATTTTACAGCCTATAAACTAGAGAATTATAACAAGTTATAAAAATAAACTAGGAAAAGCCAGGCACTGGTGACTCACGCCTGAAATCCTAGCTACTCAGGAGGCTGAGACCTGAAGATCGTGGTTCAAACCCAGCCCAGGCAAGAAGTCTGTGAGACTCTTATCTCCAATAACCACCAGAAAACCTGAAGTGGTACTATGGCTCAAGTGGTAGAGTGTTCACCTTGAGCTGAAGAGCTCAGGGACAGCACCCAGGCCCCACAATCGACACAAACAAAAAAAACAACAACAACTAGGAAATAATACAAGATCCAAGCGAAAAATGTAAGAACATTGGTTGTAGAGCCTGGGAAAATTATAGTTAAAAAACTCTAGCTACTCAGACCCTTCAACCCTCTTGACAGGTATATTCTAATTATCAAGAGTCATTTCACTTTATTGAAAGCATCCTTGCAGATCAGTTGATGTAAAGGCTTGAGCCTCAAGCATACAAAAAAGTTCCAAGCATACAAAAATAAAAAAGATCAAAAGATGTTAAAAATACCATCATACTTTCATCATTACCTGCATGAGGCAATGTTCTTAACTACAATGTAAGTTCTACTGAGGAAATGACTACTTGACAGTTCTATCTCTCATTTTAAGTTATGGGGTTCGTTTGTTTTGGTCTTTGTGCTGATACCAGAGCTTGAACTCAAGAGCATCAGGCTCTCACTCAGCTTTCTTGCTCAGGGTTGGTATTCTACCACTTGAGCCATGTCTGCAGTCTAGCACTTTACTAGTTAAAAGGAGTTGGAGCCTCACAGACTCTTCTTCCTGGACTTGGTTCAAACCATAATCCTGTAAGTCTGAGCCTCTTGAGTAGCCATGATTCTAAGTGTAAGTCACCATCACCCAGCTTCACTGTAAGTTTTTTAAAGTTCAGTGGCTAAAAAATCATGCTACTGGGGCTGAGAATGTGGTTTAGTGTTTGCCTAGCATGCATGAAGCCCTGGGTTTGATTCCTCAGCACTACATACACAGAAAAAGCTGGAAGTGGCGCTGGCACAAGTGGTAGAGTGCTAACCTTGAGCACAGACAGGCTCAAAGACAGTGCCTAGGCCCTGAGTTCAAGATCTAGGACCGGCAAAAAAAAAAAAAAATCATGCTACTGAAGGCATGAATAAATCAGTTCTATAGACTAAATATTCCAAAATCAGTAAAATGGAACTTAATCTTCTACAAAGTTGATGCCCCAGAAATAAGTGAGTTTTTTATAAGTGAGTTTTATCTCTAATTCTAATCCCAGTACAACACTTTACAAATTCAGACTTAACTTATAAAACCTTGAATTTCAAATACCAAATGTACAGATAACAGTAATATTTGTCAACTACTGTTATTTACACTAAAAACAAGTTACATATAGCATAAAATCTATAATATGTGAGACATGCACGGTAGCACTCTGGAAGACTAACACGAGACTCTGTCCCAGAACTCTGGAGACTGAGGCAGGAGTATTGAGATCAAGAGTAGCTACAAAATGAAATCCTATCTTAAAAACAAAAAACAAAAACCTGAGTGACACAGAGGGTAAGATTGGAATAGTGTGAACATAAGTGGTAGAACAGCAATGATAACACTGTTCTATTATAAGCTAATTAAAGGACCGACATTATACCTTGCCCTGACATTGGTTAAAGCCTTGATAGTTTGCAACTGCCTCACAATAAATTCCCTCCCCATTCTACTTCTGTGGATCTGAACCGAAAGCCAAACAAGCCTCTTGATGAGAAGCTGCCTTGATCTCTTAACTCAATGTTGCTCCTGGGCCACAGACCATTCTCACCTGGGGGCCCCTCCTAGAAATCTCCTATCCTTAAATTATTCTCAGCAAAACTTCAGTTCACCATCTGCTACAGCTGCCAAGACACCATAAATCCAAAACAGGACCTTCTGCTACAACTACAAAGACATTTCAAACCCAAAATTCTCATGCCCGACTGTATTTAAACCCTAAAGCCACTGTACTCCTCGCTCCTTGTATCTCCAACTCTGTTCACTACTTAGTGCCCCTCTGCAGCGATGATTAAATCCTGCCCTGACCTACTGAGGTCTGTCTTCTTTCCTTTCTTCCCCTTGATCTTTCGTAACATCTCCTTATCAAGGCAACCAGACAATGTCATAGTTCCATTTATCTTTATATAGTAGGCTTCACTTCCCCAGCCAGCCCAAAGAATATCAAAGCAATCAACCACATTTTCCTCAGAAACTGAAAGGTACTCCCACTACCACAGAGCCACTAGAGCATCCATTCAGAGCAAAGCCCCCAAGAAGCTCAGCATAGTTCACAACAACTTCCATCTCCTGGGCTAGGAACAAGAAACTGCTGTCCATCTCACCTGCCCAGTGCAGTGTCTTCAGGCAAGAATCCCTCCCCAACCAACATGAAAACAATGCATATAATAGAATTTTCTTCATTTCATCCTAAAGTCACTAAAAATTCAGTGTTCCTTCTTTTACCATTGATTATATATTAATTTCTCCACAATTAACGTTTCATACACTATTTAAATATCTACTTTTCCCTTTCCTTTTATCTTTTTTTTTTTGGGGGGGGGGGGGTTTGGTCGTGAGTCTGAACTCTGGGCCTGGGCTCAGCTCTTCAGCTCAAGGCTAGTGCTCTACCACCTGAGCCACAGTGCCACTTCCGGCTTTTTTTTTCTGCTTATGTGGTGCTGAGCAATCGAACCCAGGGCCTCATGCATGCAAGGCAAGCGCTCTACCACTGAGCCACCTCCCAGCCCTTTCCTTTTATCTTTACTTATTCAACATAAAAAATTTCAAACGAAGAGACTGGTTTTGGACCAATTTTATCAGTCATGGATGTATTGACTCTGGAAAATCTTCACAGCCAGGCTACTTTTCTCCAGCCCACATCATTTTCCAACCCAGTAACCTGACATCCATTATAAGCGTCTCCCCTGTTGAAGTACACCACAACCCTCTCCTCTGTTCCTATACCAGATTGTGGCTCATGCCCTCATCCTCAACTCCCTGAGGTTTGCCGTTGGCTCAAAGTCAGGCCACACGTCAGGCAGTGCTACAGACACCTCCAATAAGCCTAGCTCACTATCATTTGTCTTCTTTCCTTTTTTTTTCTTTCCGCCAGTCGTGGAGCCTGAACTTTAGGCCTGGGCACTGTCCCTCAGCTCTTCAGCTTAGGCTAGCATTCTACTACACGACTTCCAGCTTCTTCTGCTTATGTGGTGCTGAGGAATCAAACCCAGGGCCTCATGCAGGCAAGGCAAGCACTTTACCACTGAGCCACCTTTTCCCAGCCCTCTTCTCTCCGTTTTTATTCAGTCATATAAAGTTAACTTTCAATTACTGTTCCATCTTCAAAGATAAACTCCATAAGTTCCTTAAAGACAATTACTTGATGAGTTTTTGTGGTAGTTTTCCCACACCCCCCCTCCCAAAAAAAAGGCACTTATTTAAGGTCTCAAATTTGATTTATAAGGCTCTCTGGAACTACAATTATTTGTTGTTTGTTCATTCATAAAAATACACTAACATATGTAAGTGGCACTGGAGGGGAATAACATACTACATAAATTTTGTTTTTCAAATTCTAGGGCAGAATTCAGTCACTAACCTAAAAAAAAAAAAACTTATTTGGATATGCAGTTTGAAAATAAAACATCAATGTGAATGCACTGAATGGGTTGCTTCACTACCCCATACCTGGTAACGTTCTGCTCCCATTCTCAACTACAGCTGGGAGAACCTATGATACAGATATTTTTTATTCTTAAGGATTAGCCACAGCCAGGTGCATGTCACACCTGTAATGCTAGTTATTTAGGAGGCTGAGATCTGAGGATCGCCATTTCCAGCCCGGGCAGGAAAGAGACTCTTATCTCAAATAAACTACTCAGAAAAAGCTGGAAGTGGCTCTGTAGTTCAAGTGGTAGAGCATTAGCCTTACACAGAGAGCTCAGGGACAGAGCACAGGTCCTGAGTTCAAGCCCCAGGACCAGCAAAAAAAAAAAAAAAGGATTAGATATGAGACAGAGGCAGACAGAGAGACGTTAACAACGAAAACTTCCTAAATTTCAGGGCTGAGAATGTGGTTCAGTGGTAAAACACTTTGCTCACCAGATGTGAAGACCTGTGTTCAATCCTAGGCATTGAAAAAAAAAAAAAAAAGCCAAGCAAAGTGACTCACACCTGAAATCCCAGCATGAACAGAATGTAAGAGATTGGGATGATCACGGTTTGGTCAGAGTAAAGAAGTTAGGCATGATCTCCATCTCAACAAAATAAGGTAGGCATGATGGCATATGCCTGTGATCCCAGCAAGATGGAAGGCGTAGGTAGAAAAATTGAAGTCTAAGACTGGCCTCACACAGCAAACTTATCCAAACAAGTAAAGTAAAAACAGGTATGAGACATGGCTCAAGTGGCGGAAAGCCTGTCTAGCAAGCAGTCCCTGAGTTCAAACCCCAGTACCACCACAAAAAGAAAAAGAAAAACAAGCAATGAAAGACTATACTATACTTCATTCCAACCAGGTTTCCAAACCAAACATGACAATCTCTAGTTGATAACCTACCCAACCAGCCTCTCAAGAGCCTAAGATAAGCACACAGCTCCCATGTTATTCATGAACAGTCAGGAATTGGGAATTCTAAAGATGATCAAATTTCCCTATCCTCAAAGATTCTACAACTAAGAACTTAAAATTCAAAAGAAAAAACCAACTAAAAACAAAAACAAAAAAACTTAAAGACTCTTACAAGGGCTGGGATTGCAGAAGTGTGCTACCACATTCACTTCTAAAACTTAGTTCTCAGTCTTCTAAATTGTTTTCAGTTATCTATGCCAATCTTGTTTTCTCAAACTTTTGACTATTATTAAATCTATACTTATAAGTACTAAAAACATAATCAACAACCCTGATTAACAACAGTTATAAAGCAAATGTCAGCTTACATGTACATTCAACACGGCCTCTCTTTTGAAAAGAAGAGATGATTTGTTCACTTTCATTTCCTTAGAAATGCTACTCTTTATTCCCATTTAAGATGTACAGGGTTGGCTGAGTAGGTCCACCCTGGAAAACAAACAAACAAAATATAAGCAAAAGAAATGAATAAAGTTCTTAAAAACATAGTTAACAACCTCCATACCCATTTGATTTTCTCAAATAACACCAAACCCATTCAATCGAGCCTCACACACGACTTATGCAAGGGAAAAAAAAAAATCTATTCTCATTTCCTCTTCATACTCAGAAAAGGTGGGGAGTCCTAAGAAAGCTCACTGAAAGGGCATGTGATTTATCGAGAGTTTCTAGAAAAAGAACTTAAGATGTAGTCCTGTATAAAACGAACTGGCATTGTGGAAAAGGATTCAAGAGGCATAAACAGACAACAAATCCCCTTAAAAGTACACTGAGTCTCGCATGAGAAAAGCTCACAGACATGTTTAACACGTTACGGCAGGCTACCGTGTAAAACTCACCAAGCCACAGACAACAACTGCGGAGAACTTGGGAGAACACGCGGCCCGGACGGAGCCCACGAGGGATGAATGGCGCGGCAACGCGACCCACCCCACGGAAGGAACAGGTGGGGAACAGGTCGCCCTCGGCTGGGCCGCGGGCCTACAGGTCGGCCGGAGGCGCTGCCAGAACGGAAGTAGCACCTCACCCCGTCCGCAGGACAGGCCGGCCCCGCGCGCCTCAGCTCACACCCCCGAACAGGCCGCTTCCTCCAGCGTCCGCGCCGCCACCGCCTTCGTCGCCGTCCGAGGGGAAGTGCGAGCATCCGGAGCCGCTGCCGTCCTCGCCGCCTGCTCCATGGGAGCGTCCGGAGAAACCTACGAAGACCTCCGGCTCCCCCGCCGCCACCGCGGGCAACTGGCGGCAGCTGCTGAGGAGTACCTGGGCGCGGCCGAGTGACGCAAGAGGCCGTCCTGACGCAAGAGGCCGGCCTGAGGCGCACGCGCAGTACCGGGCGCCGCAGGCCACGCCCCCCTCCCGGCACTCCCAATTACTGAGTTCCGGGTTGTTTTTTGTTTTGTTTTTCTTTAACTAGACCCATGTTGGGAGGGCTGGCCACGGAAAGGAGAAATTTTCTCATTTCTCGAGGTTGTATTTATCCACCAAACGATCAGGATCCAAGTCCGGAACAGCACTTAACTTAGCATGCGGATTCCTCAGGGAGCTCAGCGTGTGTAGGCGCTTCCGAAACGGGATTGGCGAAACGGCTTAGGAGAAGCGGTGATTGGATGAGGGCGGGAAGGAGGCGGGGCCGGGGGCGGGGCCAGGACGGCGTGACGCGAACGGAATGGCTCACCAAGGCCCGCCGGCTGCCGGGACGGACGGGGAACGCAGGCAGGCGATCTGCTTGGCACCCGTGGCTCGGAGAGATTAATGTAGGTCCTACCACCCAGACAGACAACGATGCAGGGCTAGAATTTGGGGTCTCTAGGCGCCCCGGCTTTTTTCTTTTTTGCTAATTGGAGATGGAATCCCACAGACTTTTCTGCCCAGCCTTCTGAGTAGCTAGGATTACAGGCCTGAGCCGCTTGCTTCTGGGGCTGTGTGTGTGTGTGTGTGTGTGTGTGTGTGTGTGTGTGTGTGTGAGCTTGGGCCTGGGGCTCTGTGTGTGTGAGAGAGAGAGAGAGAGAGAGCTTGGGCCTGGGGCTGTGTGTGTGTGTGTGTGTGTGTGTGTGTGTGTGTGAGCTTGGGCCTGGGGCTCTGTGTGTGTGTGTGTGTGAGAGAGAGAGAGCTTGGGCCTGGGGCTGTGTGTGTGTGCGCGCGCGCGTGCTTGGGCCTGTGTGTGTGTGTGTGTGTGAGCTTGGGCCTGGGGCTCTGTGTGTGTGAGAGAGAGAGAGAGAGAGCTTGGGCCTGGGGCTGTGTGTGTGTGAGAGAGAGAGAGAGAGCTTGGGCCTGGGGCTGTGTGTGTGTGCGCGCGCGCGCGTGCTTGGGCGTGTGTGTGTGTGTGTGTGTGTGTGTGTGTGAGCTTGGGCCTGGGGCTCTGTGTGTGTGTGTGAGAGAGAGAGAGCTTGGGCCTGGGGCTGTGTGTGTGAGCTTGGGCCTGGGTGCCGTCCCTTGTCTTTTAAGCTCTTGTCTGAAACACTGCCATTTGAGCCACACCTCCACTTCTGGCTTTTTGGTAGTCACTTGGAGGTAAGAGTTTATGACTTTCCTGCCAAGCTGGTTTCGAACCGCGATCATCTGGTCTCAGCCTCCTGTGTAGCTAGAATTACAGGTGTGAGCCATCGGCGCCCGGCTAGAACAGCATTTAAACTTAATAATTAATTTACTTGTAGCTTGCTTTCTCTCCCCCTCTCCCTTTCTCTCTCCCTCCCTCCTCGCTCTCTCTCCATCCCTCTCTCTTTTTCTCTCTCTACCCCACACACACACCTCTGCCTATGCCCTAGTCATCCCAGGCAAAGATCTACCTCATCTAATCTGCTGACTCTCATCATTGTAGCCCATAAAGTCCTCTCACATTATTTGGACCTCCTAATTGGTACTGTAACATTCGTTGCATAGTGGTGGGGCAGGGGGGTGTCACTGTGTAAATTCCTTCCTAGATGAAGGGATGCCTTCCTCCTCCTTGAATGCCTAAGTCACTTCTCCAGCACAGATGGTGTGCATCTTATATACTGTGACTTCTCAAGCACTGATCATAGGAGACTTTCAAAGTTTTAAAACTATGATTTGTGGCCAGGCACAGGTGGCTGACTCCTATAAATCCTAGCTACTTAGAAAGCTGAGATCTGAGGATGGCTGTTGAAAGCCAGTCAGGACAGGCAGATGCATGAGACTCTTCTCTCCAACTAACTACCAAAAGGCTAAAAGTGGAGCTATGGCTCAAGTGGTAGAGTGCAAACTTGAGCCAAAAACAAAAAAAAAAAAACAAAAGGACTCAGGGATGACACCTAGGCCCTGAATTCAAGCCCTGGGACGACCACCACCACCACACACACACACACATACAACATTAAAGAACCTATGATTTTTTCATATACTGCTGATGGGATGGAAATATGGCACAACTTCCTTGCAAAACAAGTTGTTTCTTACACACTACAGTGCTTATGCCACAATCAGTAAGAAGATACTTAGCTTCCCAGACATCTTCATGAAATATGAAAAAATGCAATTTCATAGACAGGAAACCTAGTTTGATCTCTTCCTATCCTTTGCTCTATCCTTACAAGTTATGCTTTCTCTGATTGGCATCTCTCCTATCCTGCTCATGTTCCACTCCTATATTCTCCTATACTAGCTGAAAAATCCCTCTCTTCTCTGAAATCTAATAGAGATGGTGGCACCTAGTTATAGAACTATTTTCTGGACCATATCCCCACCTTTTTAAAAAATAAATAACTACTATGTGAGGTTCAATATAATGAGCTAGGAGTAGAGGTCGATGGTAGTATTCACTACTTACTTTGTACTAGAGTCCTGAGTTCAATCCTGACTACCATAAAAAATTAATAATGATAATGGTGCACAAGCATGACTAACATTACAACAAATGTCAATATCACATCTAAGAGTCATCAGGGAACATGGTTAAGCAACAGAAAAAAATCTAGCATGTTTGTTGTTGTTGTTGGTGGTGGTGGTGGTGGTGGTGGTGGTGTGTGTGTGTGTGTGTGTGTGTGCGCCAATATTGGTGCTTTAACTCAGGACCTCAAACTTTTCACTTAGCTTTTTCACCCATCATAGGATCAATTCTGGCTTTTTGCAAGCTGATTGGAGAGAAGAGTCTTGATGATTTGTCTACCCGTGCTGGCTCTGGATCTTAATCCTCAGAATAGCTAAGATTTTATAGGTGTGAGCCACCTGTGCTCTACACTGAGCCTGGTTTCTGTGATCTTCAGAAGTAGGTGTAAAGTTCACAATGAATAACCACTGTGCTTAGCAAGCAGCTAGAACCATCAGTTCCCTGGCAGGAACCAGATAGAAATGCAGAATTTACCAATTACACGTTTCACAGCTCTCAAAACCAGTCTGGGAACAGGAAAATAAAGCAAAAGAATTGGGAGTGTCATTCAACTGGAAAAGCACTTGCTTGGCAAGTATGAAGCCCTGCGTTTAATGTCCATGACCTCTTTAAAAAAAAAAAAAAAAAACCCACAGCAGTCCAAAAACTGAAATGATTCGCTTTATAAACATTTTGTTTTGTTTTGTTTTTTTGGGGGGGTCCAGTTGTGGGGCCTGAACTCTGGGCCTGGGCGCTGTCCCTCAGCTCTTAAGCTCAAGGCTAGCACTCTACCACTTGAGCCACAGCGCCACTTCCAGCTTTTTTCTTTTTGCTTATGTGGTGCTGAGGAATCGAACCCAGGGCCTCAGGCATGCAAGGCAAGCGCTCTACCACTGAGCCACCTTCCCAGCCCATTTTGTGGTTTTTAAAAATGTTTGTTCCTCATTCCTGGAGAAGTCTACTTTGATTAGATGCACATAAAGTCTTTAGGGAAGAGCCTAAAAAAATTGTCACTGAAAACATTTTTCTCATAAAGTAAAATTTAACTGTAGCTGTGGATACATTAGAAGAGTGTGTGCTTAACATCTGAAAAACTGTAAGTTCAAGCTCCAGCACCAAAAAACAAAAATTAAAAGCAATTTGTAAGACACTAGGAAGAAAAAAAACATTAACAAGATTTCTAGCCAGCCATGGTGCCTCATGCCTGTAATCCTAGCTTCTAAGGAGGCTAAAATTTGGAGGATCTTTATTTGAGGCCAGCTTAGGCTAAGAGTTCTCAAGACCTTACCTTGAACAATAGAAGTTGTGCAGTGTGCCTATTTTCCTGGCTATGTAGGAAGTACGAGTAGAGAATTACAGTGGAGACTGACCTGGCACAAATGTAAGACCTTATCTCAAAAATAGCCAAAGCAACTGGCACTCTACCACTTGAGCCACACCTCTACTTCCAGGTTTTTTGCTGATTAATTTGAGATAACAGTCTCACAATTTGTCTGCCTTGGCTGGCTTCAAACTGGAATCCTCAGATCTCAGCTTCCTGAGTAGCTAGGATTACAGGTGTGAGCGACCTGGAGTCTGGCAAAAATAGTTTTGATGATGCTTGGAGTATTAAGATAAGTTATAATTCTTTAACTTTCTCTGGGCTTAAAATATACAACTCAAAATTGGTTAGAAGAAGAAGAAAAAAGTACTAGCGTATTAAAACAGAGTGGGCTTTCTGTAATATCGTCACATTGGATCAGAACTATGAATGCCTTTACATTTCATGGATTTAACATGCACAGGCAGGAAATATGTGAGGAAGAACTGGGTTGATTTGGAACACAAGACTATAACAAGAATTCAAAAAAATGAGAACAACCAACAAGTTCAGCTAGAAATAAGTTATTTTATTTTAAAACACATACAGATTAATAAATATTGGAAAACTTAATAAATAGCCTTTTATTTACATAAGGCAATTACAACATGCTATGATTACTTCTGGAAAGCAAAATTTAAGCAAGTCTTAGCCATTGGTATATGTGGGTATGTATGCAAATTAGAAGCGCCCTGAAAAAAGTACTCTGTGCAAACAATCAATTTAACATTACTTTTAAATCTAC